AATATCTCACTTAGATTCTCCTAAATGTTCTTTCTTATTGCGGTGTACAATGTAATCCCTTTGTGATTGTATTGGTTACAGCCCCTGACAGCACAACAATAATGCGTCTAAAGTATTCCTCAGTGTAGTGACACCTTAGCCCTCTACCTGCTCCCTTGGCACACAGGTAATAGGTATGGGAAATGTATTCCATTACTATCATTTGACAAATTATACCAAGTTTTAGTGGTTCAGTGGTTTAAATAATCAGCTGCTAGTCAAAAAGTAGGTGACTGGAATCTTCCAGCAGGTTCTCAGGTGAAAGACGTGGCAGTTCTGCAGCCATAAGATTGTTATTGTTAGATGTCATTGAGTCAGAATTGACTCACAGCTGACCCTCCAGCAAGTTTTCAGAGACTGTGCGTTTCACAGGGAGGAGGATGACTATCGTGCTTCTGCAGAACAGCTGGTGGATTCGAAGCACCTGTCTTTGGGTTGGCAGCACAGCTTCTTCCCACTGAGCCACCAGAGCTCCCTACAGGATTTATTTTTGTTTGTTTTTGCAGGAGAAGGAATTTTGTTTTTATTTTAGTGAAAATTCACAAAAATATTGGCGTTCCTTCATTCATGCACATTTTCCTCCCTCCTCCTCCCCAAGTCCCTTTGTAATGCTTGTCCTCGTCCTCCACGTTTTGCAAGAGCGTGCCCCTCTTCTTTGTGATATGCTAAAAAAGCGAGGCCTAAATGGCAACAATTCTGACCTTCTTCTATAGAGTGCATAAGAACACCGACCAGACTGAAATTCCTAGTTCAGAAACACAGCAGAGATTCTAATCTTGATTTCATAATATCTTCAATTAAAAGAAGGGATAATGTAGGAGCAATTCTAAGCCAGCAGCGAAAAGATGAGGCAATCAGGAGGGGGTTAGTGAAAGAGAAGAAGACCGTTAATGAGACAGATTGGCACAGTGACTGCACAATGGGCTCAAGTGTGTCAGAGATGATGAGGGTGGCACAGGACAGGGCTCAGATCTATCATTCATAGCCTCATTCAACTCAATGGCATCTAACAACACCATAGCGTTTCTTTGAGTCAGAATTGACTCAAATGCAGTAGGTTTGATTTTTTAAATATTTGACAGTTACTGATTGGTGGGTGTATTACATGCTCACTTAGTGTAAGTTAATTTTTAGACCAAGGAAATAAGTGAAAGCATGAAAATGTCTGTCCGGTAAATCATCAGGATTTTCTCTTGCTGGCTCCAGCTCATAATATAGCCCCAACCCTTTACACCCTCCACCCTTTAACAGGCAGGATATTAAGAGCAGATTGGAGACATCTGAGTGCCACCTCTAATATCACTCTTTCCTTTCCCTTTCCACATTCAAAAGATTATGTATCCTATAGAACTCTGCCATTACAAAGAACTAGAGAGACATATGCTTAGTTGTTGTTATGTGCCATCGAGTCATCTGCAGCTCTGAAACCTACCCTATCCTGAGTCAATCCCACCGTCTCTGACATACTTGTACCCATTGCTCTAGTTACTGTATCAAGCCATCTCCTCCAGGGTCTTCCTCTCCTATGCCGTCCCTCCACCCTTCCAAGCAGCATGATGTCCTTCTCCAAGGACTAGTCCTTCCAGGCAACATATCCAAAGTATGTGAGACAGAACTTCAAAATCTGTATCACTAAAGAACAACATGGCTCTACCCTCTCTAGGACAAAACTATTTGTTCTCTTAGTGGTCCATGGAATGTTCAATATTTTTTTTTCTAACAGCACAACTCAAAGGCATTGATTCTTCTTGTGTCATCCTTAGTCATTACCCAGCTCTCTGATGCATTGCAAGTAATTATGAAAACCATAGCCTGGATCAGGCGCACCTTAGTTTCCAGACTGACATCGTTGCTCTTCAGCACCCTGGAAAGGTCCCTGACAGCAGATTTTCCTAATGCAATTCATCCTTTGATTTCCTAACTTCTAGTGCCTAGAGTGTTGATTCTGAAACTAAGCAAGATGAAACTGTTGACAATCTCAATCTCTTCTCATCATGATGTTGCCAATTGGCCCAGTGGTGAGAATCTTTATTTCCTTGATGTTGAGTTTCAATTCATATTGGAGACTGCAGTCTTTGATCTTCTGTAGCAAATGCTTCAGGTCCTCTTCAGTTTCAGCAAGCAAGTGTGTCATCTGCATAACACAAGTTGTTGATGAGTCTTCTTCAAATCCTTGATGCTACATTCCTCCTCATAAAGCCCAGCCTCTCAAATGATCTGTTCCACATATAGATTGAAAAGGTATGGAGACAAGATGCAGCCCTGATGCATTCCTTTCCTAATTTTGAACCATGTAGTATTTCCTTGCTCTGTTCTGAAGACTGCTTCCTGATCCAAGTATAGGTTTCACATGAGCACGATCAAGTGTTTTGGGATTCCCATTCTTCTCGAGGTTAGCCACAATTGTTGTGATCTACACAGTCAAGTGTCTTTGCATAGTCCACAGACAGATGTTCCTCTGGTATTCTCCACTTTCAGCCAAGATCCATCTGACATTGGCTATGATGTCCCTAGTGTCACAACCTCTTCTAAACATGCTTAGTAATGCTAAGCACATTCTAAATCTGCTTAGAAATATGCTTAGGAAGGAGGCTAAATATACTTCAGTACTTGGTCACATACTTACTGGAGCAATCACTAGTCTACTTCTGTCCTATTCTTCCCATTCAAAGTGATTCCAGGCACTGCCAAAGAAACACCAGCATTCTTTTTTTATTGGTTTATGTACAGTAATTCTTATATATTGTGTTTCACTCATGTACATTCTGTTTTGTACAATCTTTCATTTACATTGTGTTCCATACATTCATGTATATTTTATTTTATATCATTACTATAGATCTATACTTATTACCCCATCTTTTCAAGTTTCTTTTGAATCTTTCCTATTCCTTCACTCTCTTCCCCATCTTCCCACCAAGTTCTGCTATCCTGATGATTTCCTCCCTTCCCTGCCCAGAGCATTACATCTCCTATTCTATTGACTGCTGGTACCAAGAGTGTTGATTGTGGATCCAAGTAAGATTTAATCATTGACAGTTTCAATCCTTTCTCCATTTATTATTATGCTTCCTACTGGCCTATAGGTAAAAACCTATTTTCCAAATCTTGAAATGGAATTCATATTGAAGGCTGTAGTTCTTTATCTTTTGCAGTAAGCGTTTCAAGTCCTCCTCACTTTCAGCAAGGCTGTGCCATCTGCATAACCCAGCTTGTTGATGAGGCTTCCTTCAATTCTGATGCCACATTCCTCTTCTCAGAGTCCAGCTTCAAGAATTATTTGTTCAGCATACAGACTGAATAGGTATGGTGAAAGAATACAACCCTGACACACACCCTTCCTGATTTTAAACTATGCAGTGCTCCCTTACTCCATTTGGATAACTGCTTCTTGGTGTTGTTGTTATTGTTATGTGTCATCGAGTCTCCTGCAACTCATAGTGACTCATATAACAGCTCTAAACTCTGCTCTATCCCGTGCCAATCTCATTGTCTCTGACACAGCTACCCTTTTACCACAGTCACTAAATCAATCCATCTTATCAAGAGTCTTTCTCTCTTGTGCTGTCCTTCTACCGTCCCCAGCATGACAGCCCCCTCCAAGGACTAGTCCCTCCTTGCAACATATCCAAGGTGTATGTCAGACAAAGCTTCAGAGTCTTGCCTCCAAGGATCAGCCTGGTCTCATCCTCTCTTGGGCGAACCTGTTTGTTCTCCTAGCCTACCATGGTTTATTCAATACTCTTCTCCAGCACCACAGCTCAATTCTCCTTCTATCCTCTCTAGTCATTGCCTAGCTTTCTGATGCATAGCAAGTAATTGCAAAGACTATGGCCTGGATCAGGTGCACCTTAGTCTCCAGACTGGCATCATTGTTCTTCAGTACTCTGGAGAGGTCCCTCACAGCAGACTTTTCCAATGCAATTTGTCTTTTAATTTCCTGGCTGCTGGTACAAAGAGTGTTGGTTGTGGAGCCAAGTAAACTAAAGCTGTTAACAATCTCAGTCTCTTCATTGTCTATCATGATATTGCCAATTGGTCCAGTGCTGAGGATCTTTGTTTTCTTGATGTTGAGCTGTGAGAAATAGAAATTATATGAGAACAATTAAGTTTTCTGGGATTTCCATTCTTTTAAATGTTAACCATAGTTTGTTATGATCCACATAGTAATGCCTTTGCACAGACAATAAAACATGGATAGAAATTCTTCTGGTATTTTCTACTTTCAGCCAGGATCCATCTGACCTCAATGATATCCTTGGTGCCAAAGCCTCTTCTAAACCCACCCTGAACTCCCAAAAGTTCTCTGTAAATGTACAATAGCAGCTATTAATATGATCTTTGTATTTTCTTCAATTCAAGCTATCTTGTGGCTATAATGTTACATAGTGATTATGATGGTTAAGGTCCTGTGTCAACTTTCTGCCTATGATTCTCTGGTCTGGCAGTTACATAGTCATTCCCTTGATGATATCAGATGTAATGCAATCAGCCCTGTGCTGAGACCTAATATAATACAATCACCTTAATGGTGAAATCTGCTATGAACAACCAATTTATTGAACAGGAGTTTCATCAGAGGTGTGGCCTGAATTGAATATATGTGAGGATCTGGCAGAGTTCTCTTGCTTTGGCTCAGTCTGTATCTGGCACCTGACCTGCTACCCCCAGTTCTTTGAATCTGAACCATCAGCCTACTAACATTGGATTCATTCGGCGCTATAGTTATGTGAATCAGGAGAAACCTCTCTCGGAGATTTGACCTACAGATTTAAGATTAGCCACTCTCTGAGCGCTGCCAGTTTAAAAGCATGCAGTGTGAATCCACCCATGGGGGAAAGATGGAGAATTTCCTTCCATGCTACGGACTGCCTCTGAAAACCCAGTGGAGCATCAGCTATGCATTGATTCTAACTCGTGTCACATAAGAAGTCTGTGAGCCATTTGCTTGAGATAAATACCTCTCTATCTTTAGAGACACAAACACATACACATAGACACCATTGGTTTTGCTTCTCTTAAGAAATTGGCCTAAGACAGAAAGAAAAAAAATTAGTTAACAGGTTTATACATTTTAGACACTTTCTTAGTAGCATTTCATAAGTTGTTTTAGTTTGTTATTAATTTTTCAGATACATTATTAATTTTTTAAATTAAAATGTTCTGTTAAGGGATTTAGAGCAAAGTTAAGTTCCTTTAAACTTAAAACATAATAAACTGTTTTCAAACAGAGAAGTGAGCAGAAACTTTTAATGAATTATTAGAAATTTTTCTGTTATTAATTTGTCAGGCCCCTATGATCTCTCAATCTCCTACTCAAGTTTCTTAGACCCTGTGTGGTCCCTTCTCACTTATTTAAATAGACAGGAGCCATCTATGTGAGCAGGTACATGAATGAGTGAAATTTAAAAAGCCAGTCTCTCTCTCTCCATATATAAATTTCCCCAAATAATAGGATACATGTGTGCACAAGTGGTAAACCACTAATAATATTTAGAACTCCACAATTCCTAGTGGAAATAAAATAATAAAGAAATAAAACATTCAAGGAAAAGAATAAGAATGATGGTTAAAACCCTGGCATCACAATTCAAAACGTGTCTGAAATTCAGTCACTCATGATTTGGTCTTGCTTACATTGGGAAGTTAGCTTGTTTTCACGTCATGGTCCACTGACAGATGGGCAGGCCAGGTCTCCTGGGCAGATCCTGCAGTAAGCCGTTGCTGTAACTGAGTGTAAAGGCAGTATAGACTCTTGGTCAGTGGGCATTTGTAACCACTTAACTAGTGGTTGTAATGGTTGAGTTGTCATCATACTTTGGTAGATGGACTAAGGAAGTTACAGCATTGTCTAGAATTAATAAAATCGTCACTTTAACTTCCAAATTATATAATAAATAAGTTCACATATGTGGATTTGCCTTTTAAAGAGATTAATGAGTACTTACTTCCCTTGGAACTGGAAAGGAAATTGAAGTTGTCAAGAATGCATGGGAATGATTGTATGAAACACAATGTATATGAACTTTGTGAGCAAACCAATATAAAATAAAAATAATATATAAATTAATTTTTAAAAAGGAAGTCTTACTCATATACAGTGCCACCCAAGGGTAATAAAGGAGGTCAGAATTGCTTCCACTGTGGAAAGCTGGGCCACTTCAGTAGACAGTGTCACAGA